CGTCGAAAAAAAAAAAAAAAAAAAAGAAAACAAATGTTCAACTGTGATTTCCGAGTGAGAAAGCTACCACGTTGCATGAGTGAGATACCGCTGCGCTTCCGCTACAGATATGTGTATGCATGGTTCTAGAATTTATCGATAACATACGCGATCGTGGATCTTCAATTCAAACCAGCTATCGACAGACGATTATTTTTTATAATATCGGACTTCCTGTCGCGAATCTTAACGTCAACGAGATGGTATTTCTTTTTGTTTCTCGCGTATACACGTGTACACGAATCCGGATCTCAGTTTTGTGTAACTTTTTAATATCTCGTATTAAAAAGTATAAATACCGTTCAAAAGTCTTGCGGCAAATATTACGTTCATTTTCGAAATTAAAAGATTTTTATTTTAAATTGAGAATGATCGTAACTGTAAATCGTATTATAAAATACACTTGCAACGTAAAGATTTTATAACACAATATTTAATATCCTAAGACTTTTGAACGGTGGCGTATAATCAACAAACACATGTGAAATTTTGTGTCGCTTCTAAACTACTGCCAGAAACAAAGAAATCTCGATCTCGATCAAGATGGCATTTCCTATAACGATCAGATGCGATTTATTTCGATACGATCCTGCGCGCGGAATATGAACTTGGAAAAAAAAATAATGTATTTCAATCGACAAAATCACTGGTGCACTAAAATCATCCATCTTCAACATTCATCTGGGATTCCCTAATTCTCTGTTAATTTTTATTCGTTAAATTAAGTTATAATGCGTGTTTGAAACGATTTTAGACAAATTGCAAAGTAGAAGGTAAAGATGAGAAGTGCCTGCAAGCATCAGGCGCAGGCGCACGAGATAAGTACACTACGCATGCGCATTAGATGCGTGCTTTAAACGCATGCGCGCCTGCCTGACGCGAACGCATTTAAAAATCGCATATAGAGAGAACAGGAACATGCTTCGTTCAGTTTAAATATCTCTGACGCACGCGTCGAAATATTGGCGATTATAGGAAATCCCGTCTTTAAAGCGACAGGATGCGATATAAACAACAATGTCTCGGTTATATAAGGTCGTGGATCCGTGAACGCAGATCTTGAATTCCTCGATACACATATGGTTCACGTGCCCACGTGTTTTTAGTACACGTTCAAATCCACGATCTCTAGTATTTACCTGTCTAACATAATCGTCCGAAAAATTGTAATCCAAAACGTTTGAAGTAAGTAGATTGGAAATGTTGGAACATTTCAACATGGAAAATAGTACAAAATATAATGATAAAAGAGAATCTCATTGAATTCGAATGTAAACTCGATGTTTCCGCGCTTCTCGTCGCGAACCTCGTCCCCACAAAAAAAATGGCGGGAAAATAACTAGAAGACTCGTCGATCGCGATGTTCCAATTATACGGTGTCCTCCATTATTGCGATACATTTGAATATAACGTTAATGAGTCTGTGTGTAGTGTTTCTGAATTAGTATTCATCACTTAACCTCTATTGTAACTATTGTACATTTGTTCATAGATGACGTAGACGATGAGTGAGAGGGGAAGGAGGAGAGAAGTACGTACATTTTTTTCGACAGAGCGACGAAACTGATAGTGATAGTAGACGCGTGTAACGTTATATAAATATAACAACAGATCCTTGATTAGCTAACGGACAATTGCGTCTATTTTGCGTAACCAAAGTTTTTTAGTAATCGATCGATAATTTGCATAGTGTTGCAAATTCGTGTATAACAACGTTATGTACTCAGAGCAACTAAGTAACTCGTCAACAAATGTATGACGAGTTATTTAGTTGCAAATAGATTTATTTTCTTCTACGGATACGTACAGCAACTACCACAAATATTTGGAGATTAAATTTTCGAATTATAATTCACGAATTACAATTATAAACAATTTCTCAGAAATAAAAAATTTACTGTTCGGATATTTGTGCAAATAACAAGTACGTATACGTGTATGTATTTATTTATGTATGTATGTATGCATAGACATACGTATGTACACGTAATTACTATTATTAATATTATTATTAATTGTAATTGTTATCATTATGAGATATTTTGAATTTTTGAAGAAATTTCGAGAACTAAAAGAAAAAGTATTCGTTGAACATGTAACAGTTCATTTGTATTCGAAATCTCTTTCATCTTGGGAACTGAGCACACGTTGATTTATTGATTCTGTTATTGTTGTCTCGCATTACGTAACGGTGTTCGATACACGTTAGAATTTATTTCTTAATGTTCGCTTTCGTCGTTGATTGATCATTAGCTAATGACAGCGAAATTTGTAAAATCGAAATACAATTTACGTTTTTAAAAAGAACTTACTGTGAAATGCAATTTAAATATAATCCTAAAATAGATTCCAGATCGTCTTGGTAATAGTATCGGATTCAACGTACGCTTAATAAACATTTTTCACTTACAATTAGTGTGAAAAGTGATGACTTAGTCTTTTCATAAATGTTATTCGTCGAGTAACATTTGAATTTGTTGCTTTGGGTTTTTAATGCTACAACAAAGGATTACAATTTTAATATTCCACGAAAATAATATTTTGATATATTTATTGTTAGCTGGAATAAAAATTAGTCACATGTTAATTGAACTGTAATGCTGAAATTATTCTATGTTTTTGTTTTCTTTTCTTTTTTTTATTAGTTAAATGCTGATTTCAGATTATTAATATTTTAAATGTAATACATGTTAGAATAGTCTTTTTTTTTTAAATTTGTATGTTTTCTTCCAATTTAAAATAAATTTTATAACATTACGTGCTATTTTTAATATTTAATTATAGTTTATTTTGAATATTTCTTGTATCATACGTTCGTTGTAAAAATTGAACGAAAACGAAATTATGTAAGTATTTTCTATCGTTGCCAAATTTTAAATTACCATGTAACTTTGTAGGAAATACGAGCTATATCTCAGGGACTGCATGTTTATCAATCTTTTTATTAGGAATACTTTATAATATAATTTCCAACTGTATAAAATGAAAACATTGTAAAATATTACCTTATACTAACCTGTAAAATTATATTGTTAATATATTAATATTACTTATTATGTCATAATAATACTAATATTTGTCGTTAAACTAAATATTATTTATTCTCTATGGAAATAAAAAAATATTTAATATAAATACATAATAATTTCCAATTATTCTGTGAGAAACAAGAATTACTTTGCAAGAGTAATAAATTTTTTGTTTCAGTTTAAATGACGCTCTTTTGTTTTAAATTAATATCTGTATAATTGTATAGAAATAAGTTTTCAAATCGCAAACTTGGGATCTCGTATCTTATTTTACTCAGTTTATAAATATTGCAATTATTCATTTCTGAAGTTTTATTCATTTCTGAAGTCTTAATTATTTCTCTCTTAATTATTAATAAAAAATCAACCATTCAAAAGGTAAAATTATAAGGAATAAAATGAAATATATTTATAATATTGAAAAGTAGAGCAAATCCGAGTTAACATATTTATTAATTACGACAATTGCAAAATATAAAGTTAGAACTTATTGTTAGAACGAACTGGAATGAGGAATTGATATTTGATGAATATGATTTTCAAGAAAGCTTATTGACATTGAAACTTGCCTTACAAATTCCGTTTCGTCTGCAATAATCCAACAGGAAGAAATAATTGAACTGGAACGTGAGTATAATGTGAAACAAACGTAGCAGCTACGGTTACGTTTATCACGTTACAGATTTGGCGAGATTTTCGAAGTAGAAAGAGCAGGTTCTCACAGTAAGTCGTGAAGAATTATGACTTTAGAATTGCATTGGTAATTTTACAGTCGAATGAGAGAGCACTTCCTTACGACACCGGGACTAATGAAGAAAAAATGAAAACCGACAGAGCGGTAGTGTTGAAGCGGCACGTTAAGGTGCATTCACAGTTGTTACTTTACTCGTTACACACATTATACACAATATTTAGTGGTATACGAAATTCGACGTAGGATTCTATTTCTAAATTCTTTTACGTTTGCTGATACTCATGCACTTAACTCATCAATTTTAGTGCATCGCGTTGTTGAACAGACGACAGTCAGAGACACTTGAAGACTCTTAACACCCGAAGATGTCCAAAAGATAGCATGTTAAACTTTCATCAAAGCGGACCAGTTCACCGACAATCGGTTGAACCAAGTAACAAGTCACGATATTACAAACAACAAAACACCATTCACATTTCCTAGCATGACACGATAGTACCAAGGTATAGGTAACAAATCTGGACGCACCTTTACGAGTCCGAGGGTGATCTCGTTTATATTCTTTGAGTGATTTATGGACAAACTGCTGCAACTCCGTCTACTTCACCTCTATTCACCTCGTTAGAAAGGATAATGTATTCATGAATGGTCGGACTCGTTCCCTGACGCGTTGCCGTGAACTTCTAAACTCGACAAGGAAAGTGTATATATATATATATATATATATATATATATATATAACCGACTGGAGCAACCTTTAAATCGAATCGGCCTATATACCTCTTCGTGACTGTTATTACGAAGACTGTGTTGTCATTTTTTTCTCTGTGTTGTCGGCATGTTCTGAATTTCCATCTAGAAGTCAAGGAGCTTTCTCTTTTTCGAATTTTCGGAAATGAAATATTTATTATTATTAAATATTTATTATCGAAGTGAATGTATGCGTTTTAAATGGGAACGGTGTAGAATTATTTTGAGGTTATGTTTCTATATTTCTGTTTCTTATATTTTGAGGTTATTTATACTTCTAGTGAAAGTCAAAGTATGCCTCGATCTAATGTGGAACAATTTTTAGATATTAATTCTTTTATAGACAATCGTTTAATTCCGCTTTAATCCTTCAATTTTCTACAATTAAGTCGTGAGTAAAATTGATAAATAGACAATTAAGTCGTGAGTAAAATTGATAAATAGACTTGTGGATCTTTATTTGAAAAAAAGTTTTTAACGGACAATTGTATAAAATGTACGTGTAATACGAAGAAATGTGTGAAGTATCCGGAGCATCGTACGTTCTGCAACTTTTTTTTTTAACATGTAAAACAATTTCCTACAAAGATTCTATTCTTCCATTTTAAAATTTTTATTTATCAATTTATATTTACCCTTCGTCATTACTGTTCTATTATATCTTATATCTTCATTAGAAATTTTCGTACTTCTCTAACGCTCAATTTTTTTTTTTAATTTCTCTTTTCTTTCATCAACTTAACAGATATAATAACCGACAGGAGGATAAACCCAGGGCTTTCGGATTTAAAGGCGGGCGTAAAGAGAAGAAATCTCTCTAGAATTCGTTATCGTGGATCAGACCGGGGCGGTATTTTCTTTTTCATGGTGGAACGAGCGAGCGTTGTTTCCTGTCTGTCAGTTTCTGTCGATTAGTCGCGTCTAGTAGCGGCGCGTAACGTCCCATTCGGAGCGCAGGAAGAAAGAGGCTTTGGAGTCGACGTGAAGGCAAAGCGAGACAAGGCGAGACAAGGCAAGGCAAGGCAAGGCGAGTGGCTTGTCAAGAGCTTCCTTCCGGCGACGCAGTGTGTTACGAAGGTATGGGCGTCGGCGAGAGAAACGAACGCTCGCCGAAGGGTGCTTCAAACGAATTAGTTGGCGCCAGAAAACTCGTCGGACCTTCATCCAAACGATCGTAAGTTAGTCGCTCGGTTGTATATTGTGTGTCATTACCAGACACCGATATTAATGGAAATGCATAATAATATACATACATATACAGTGGATCGAAGAAGCATCGGCACACCTAGTTTTCTTGCAATAGTTCTTTTCCTTTTTTTTTTTTTTTTGCTTTGCAAAAACTAAAATGGCTTCTGTCAATAGTTTATTACGTACGTGCAAAAGTGTACAGCAGAAATTATCCAGTAATGAGTTGTATAATAATAATATAAAAATTTTACAAATGTGATGTAAGATCCACTTATACGTAGCCCGATTTCACTTATCGTCATTTGCTATTTTTTCAAACTTCCACGAGAAGTAGACGACTTTCAGAAGCTCTTTGAAGTTATTTTAATAATGACAATTTGTTTTTGCAGACTTTTTCTGCGTGTTGAATTAGACGCACTTTCACCCTTTTTTTTAAACGTCCAATAATATCCAATTTATCTTTCGTTTTTTCTGTTATAGAAAAATATTCTTAGTATAGAAATCTGTATATGAGTACAGATTGAACTCGCTGTGAAATGGAGCATTTCAAGTAGGAAAGATAAGTGCTCCAATAAACATTGTTAGATACGTAGTTTAAATGTTTTTTGCTTGCATGATTATAAAATTTAATAATTTATAAAATTTAATAATATTCAACAGATAAAACAGACTGTAAATGTAAATTACTTAAAAGTATTTTCTTCACATGCTTCAGTAAACATTGTTGGATATGTAGTTTAAATGTTTTTATTTACATGATTATAAAATTTAATAATTTTGAACAGGTGAAACAAACTTTTATTTCTTTCATAATATATTTCTGTATATTTCATTCTATATATCCATGTATATATTCTATATGTTCTTACATGTATAATTTATAAAATTTAATAATATTCAACAGATAAAACAGACTGTAAATATAAATTACTTAAAAGTATTTTCTTCACATGCTTCAGTAAACGTTGTTAGATATGTAGTTTAAATGTTTTTATTTACATGATTATAAAATTTAATAATTTTTCACAGGTGAAACAAACTTTTATTTCTTTCATAATATATTTCTGTATATTTCATTCTATATATCCATGTATATATTCTATATGTTCTTACATGTATAATTTATAAAATTTAATATTTAGTAGATAAAACAAATTAAACAAATATAAATTAAAATATTTAATCAAATTAAACAAATATAAAATAAAGTATTTTCTACTATAATATATTTCTACTAATAATACTATAGAATAATTAAATTAAATTATATAATCAATATAAATTAAAAAGTATTTTCTACTGTCAAAGAAAAAAGAAAAACACCTTCAAATTCGACGCAACCAACGTTTCATTCTCTCTTTTCTCTTTCGGTCAACATTTTTCAGTCTCACGATCAACCTGGAAAACTTCGCACGCCGTGTTTCTTAAACGATCGGCCGATACTCGTCGGTCACGTTATTTTGCAATAACGGTGGCGGTGAGCGTCAATTTCTTTCGTTACTTGGCGAATCGTGAAAGTAGTATGCCTATGTATATTTCTCGCGTATTCCGGGTAATGAGCAATTTCAGCATCGTTGGCGCAGCTGCTTCGACGCTCTTACCTGTCGACTACCGAAACAACTCGTTGGTTAACTCGGCGACAAGAAAGCCGGTCGGTTGAAAAAGAAGATTAATCGGAGTCTTGGCAAAGGGTTCGCCGTCGCGGTCAGCACAATAGCGCTTGTTTGCGCCGCGGATATTGCAACAATTATCCGCGCAGAATGTTCACGCAACACCGCGCCGTGGCCTTAAGAAGCGGAGGAACGATTCGAACGATTAATTTCGTTACTTTCGGTGACACGACATCTCCAATTACGAATAGAAGCGATTCTGTTTCTCTCTCTCTCTCTCTCTCTCTCTCTCTCGACGATGGTTTGAACAAACAATCTCAAAGGTAACGTAATTTGCTTGCTAACGTATGGACGTTCGTGCACTTTGAAGTTAGAAAAATGTAATAACGCAAAATTACGATTAATGAAAATGTCAAAGGTAGGATCAATCACTGTGAACGTCTTTGCGAGTGTATTTCCCGGGAAGTCTACAAATAACTTAGAAAATTTAATATATAATATATATACTATGATATATTGTGTTATGATTTACAATATATTACATTCTCAATTTGTCATACCTTAGTCCCTCATTCGGCATTAAACTTTTAGACTTTTGAAGATTTTTTTTGTAATATTTTTCAAGATTCCAACCTGCTTAAAATTGCTGTCTGTTAAAAAAGAAAGAAAGATTCGCATTTTTCCTCATGCGTTACATTAATGAAGCATTTACTTACAATACTTGTAACATAATATAATAATAATACTTGTAATAATTATAATATAATATTATTATTATTATTTATTTATTTATGTATAATCCTTGCCTAGGGCTTCCGGTTTACAATGAGTCTACATCTTTATTATTTTCCTACTTCTATAGCTAATCCTTAGTATCTACGTCTTATGGATTTAATTTGCCTAGTAATTATAATATAATATATTATAATAATTATAATACTTGTAATAACACAAAATTATATATTATAATACAATATATTATAATAATTATAATACTTGTAATAACACAAAATTATTATATAATATATTAATATAATATATTATAATAATTATAATACTTGTAATGACACAAAACTATATATTATAATATAATATATTATAATACTTATAATAACACAAAATTATATATTTTAATATAATATATTATAATAATTATAATAATTACTTATAATAACACAACAAATTGTACAAATTTCTAGTTCGAGTCGAGCCGACGTGGGTGTCTGGCGTGGATTTCTTTTCCCGAAGTTGCAAAAGCGCGGCAAGAAAGAAAGCAACGAACCTTTCGGAGAGAGAGATTGCACTGCCGGTGTACAGGGGACCTGGTAACCCGTGGCACGGTGTAACCGTGTATAGGTGTAGAGCAAAAGGAAGACAAACGACGCGTCAACGGAGCTCAAGTAGAAGAGATTAGTCCCGGGGATGATGAACGGCCGACGAAAAACCGCGGGATGTGTCATACCGTAGGTACATTACAGAGGGACAGTAGGAAGATCGGCACGCGTGAGCCGGAAAAAGAGCAGGCGCGGCAGCGGTAGGGTGGAACACGGGGCAACGGGAAGGATATCACGACGGAAAGGAACAGGCAGAGATGTCAGAGAGGTTTCTCGCAATTAGTCAAGTTTTCCCCGTGCGCGAGCGACCGTGTCCAACACCGTGCCAGCTTATTTATGGGCTGCAGGATACGTGTAAACACGAAAGTAGATGCAGAAGGGGGATGCTCGGGCTCGTTCCTTAACGTCCTGATGCGCTTGCCCTCCCTCCCTCTCCCATTCCACTTCATTCCGCTGCTCTCGACTTCGCTTCGCTCGATTTAAGCTTTCGAGGCTCGCTTCGATTCCTCCCTCCCTTCGATTTTATTCCTCCTTCTATCGTTTCATCTCTTGTTTCACTTCCACGTTATTATTTTTCAGATTTCAATTTTGCGTGGCAGTCAACAATAGAAGTTGACGATAGAAGTCGAAGACTTTTGGAAAGGTGAGCGTTAAGTGTTGGTAACTGTGTAAGAATTTTTAGCGTTGGATATATTTTATATATCCAAATGTATTCAGTGTATATTTAATATAATGTATTATATTATAGATAGATATAACAATTACTATATATTATAGATAGATATAACTGTGTAACAATTACTATATATATTATGCAGGAATAGCTTGCAATAGCAATACTTGTTGATTAAATGTTTATCTAGTTTTAATTATTAGTCGAATTTTAATAATTTTTTTACTAGAAATGAATCTATATATATATATATAATACATTACATTAAATATATTGAATACATTTAGATATATAAAATATATCCAACGCTAAAAATTGTTACACAGTTTTATATATATATATTACTATATATGTATATATATATATATATATATATAACACTGTGTAACAATTTTTAGCGTTGGATATATTTTATATATCCAAATGTATTCAGTATATATTTAATGTAATGTATTATATATATATAGATTATTTTCTAGTAGTTAAATTATTAAAATTCGACCAATAATTAAAACATTTAATCTGAATGTAAACAAAAAAATTTATACTACTACAAATTTCTGCATAATAATGACGATATTAGAAATATAAACAAAATGGTCTATAATAAAATATTTCATTTGATTTTAAATAAAATATTCCTTTAAATATTCATTTTGATACATCGCTAAAAGGTCTGAAATGAACTTTTCACTCTTAATTTATTCAGCAGCTTTACAATATTTCATAGAACTTGAAACTTTTTGCTCAAACGAAGTTAAAAAAAGCAACTGTCCATAAAATTATCAATATTAATACAATTCTATTTATAATCATCAAATTTATTATGTATTACATATTATATTATATAATTGTACGTTGCATAATTTCTTTTAAATTCTAAATTCTAAAACGCGCGACGTGTTAAGAATAATTTAATTGCAATTAATGCTTCCTCCTTTCCCTTACGTCGTGAACGTAACGCTGTGAGCAATAGCGATTGATCAACAAAAATCGAGCATGCTGACATATTTTCAACGTTGCTGGCGTTACATTTGTACTTTTCCATTTTGTATAAAAAGAATTGTTACACTATCACTACGCAAACTACGGACAAAAAAATACTGCCGGTGAACAGAAAATTCTTCCCCCCCGTCGTGAACTAAAAAGCATCGCTCTCGACAGAGAGATCACCAGTATGACAACTGAAAAATCTCATTTGACCATAGAAATTTATTCATCCGTGATTCCTACGTGATTCTCGTCGGCACGAGTGAGTACGGAAAGGCTCACGAAACATTCGAAAACCGTAAAGGCCGCTCGCGGTGCACGCGGCGGAGAACAAAGAAATTAAAAACTAGTTAAAGCTACCCGGGGCGAAGCGTTTTCAAGAGAGTGGTCACGCAATATCGCCGCATGCTATCGGCCCTCTGTCGCTACTTAGGACCAATTCTTCCCTCCAACTTGTTCACGACGTTGTGTCGTCGTCAGTGTTGTTGTGCGTACAACAAGAATTTATTTCACGCAACGCGAGCGCGATCTTTCACAATGGCCGCGCGATCATTCGACACGAACGGAAATATTTCGCTCGTGGTAATCGATTACCGCGATCGAAAGAAGGGAAATCATCGGCAGTCAGCAGGGTGCAGCTCGGCCCATTCAGCGGTAACACGATCGAGGCCAACAAATAACTGGCGTGTTAAATCGAAAGGAGGTATATCGGCAATCGAGTTGTTAATGCCAAGCAAAAATAGTTTATATATATATATATATATATATATATATTTATAACATTAATAATATTAATATATATATTTAATATTAATAATTTATAATATATTTAATATTAATATATTAATATTATTAATTAAAATATATATATATTTTATTAAAATTATTAATATTATTATTTAAAATATATTAATATTATATATATTATATATTAATATATATATTAATTAAAAAATATATATATTTTGTTAAAATTATATTATATTATTATTTAAAATATATATTTTATTAAAATTATTAATATTATTTAAAATATACATATTAATATTATTAATTAAAATATATATATATTTTATTAAAATTATTAACGTAATTATACAAAAATTATTAACATAATTATTATTATATTATATATAAATATATTAAATTACTAAGTTTTATGGAAAATACACATTTTGCAGAATACGAAGGAAAGACCCGAATCTCATGGAAATCAATTTTAATTGCATCTACACATCTATACACGTGTGCCAGATACAAAGATCTTCGTTTTTGCATTTCACGGTGCAGAAAACATCTCGGCATGAAACGAACGATTTCAAGAGAGTGAAGGTTCCCAAGGTTCGATCACAACAGTTTCGACATTTTAGAATATTAATCACACCGACGCGTTCCAAATTCCGAGCCAACCGATGACAGGGTATTTTCGATATCCAAACAACGTTCTACTCGCGTGCAACAACACGGTCGATCGCAGCAGAACGAAGCGGAACGTTACTGCGTTTCATGCATAATTTATTGAAATTTCTTCGCGTCGATGCGAAGTAGATTGGAGAGACGATCGCGGCGCAGGATCGGATAATTTATTGCAACAGCGTTATAATTCTATAATCTGAGGATAATGGAGGTCATTAGCGTAATGCTTGTCTTCGAGCCGGATGATCACACTGCCCTGAAATCTGTGATCATTTCCGACAACCCCTCGTGCAGTGCCTCGACGCTGCGCGTGATTGCACGTTTATGTGATTCCTGTTATTTTCAATCATTATTTTCACCGGGTCTCCCCCCCCCCCCTCCGCCTTGCACACCCTCGCCGTCCCTCCGTCAGCAGGTAATTGTTATAATGAACAGGGAAATGATAGGCTTGCAGCCGGGGCTTGGCTTCGCGTTCTCTGTTTGAGAAACCTCCGAAACAATGCGATAGATCTTTACACCGCGCGCCGAGTGATTCACTGAATTTACTTTAGCGTTTTGCGAGTGTTTCGTCGTTCAATTTTCTTCATCGCCGCGTAAACGAGGCCGCACGAGATCGAAACATTTCTTATGGTTACTTTCCCCTCTTCCTGCGTCTCTGCGAATTGTCAAATTTTCTCATTTTTTGTCGAAATGTTCTGGACGATAGTGATAATAATTTGATCGCTCTAACATTGACGGTGAACATTGACGTTAAATAAAAAGACAATAATTGAGAATTGTTATTATTATTAGACGAATTATTCAACAGAAGGAAAGTTTAACAGACGCGAATTTTAATAAAATAAAATAAAATAAAAAAATTAAAATAAAATAAAGTATTTAGTTAAATAATAAAATTTATTTAACATAATAAAATTTACTTTATTTTTAATAAAATAAAATAAAACGCGAAATATTAATATCATTATTGAGAGTTGTAATAATCATGGAGATCATTGTCATAATAATTAACTTTAATTTATGGAACTTGTCTTAGATTCACGAATCGAACAAATGGATGCATGTTTTCTCGTTGAAATTTCTGACTTTCGAATTTAATTTGGAAACTTCGAGATTTCATTTTCTTTTTTTTTTTTTTTTTGACTTATTTTAATCGATTCAACGGAGAAACTAAATTTTTTTTTGTTACCTTTTACGCTTAGCTTTTATCTCGTGCGTCGAACATATTGAGAATTAGATATAACAATTAGTACAATGAAACATTACCTTCACGATTGACAAAACTTACCATCGAATTGCAGATTGAACAATCATGGATGCTTTTTGGATATCTGGAAATTTTAATTTGATTTCGATCAATTTTTATTTATTCAGAAACCATTTATTTATTGTCTACTAATTTTTTTTCTCCTGCATCGTATATACATATTACGATAATTAATATACTTACTAACTAATTTATCGTGGAATGGCAGATTATTGAGTATCCCAAATTATCGAGCTTCATACAGAAACTTTCATCTGACTTTAATTTAGTTTAACCTTCGAAGACACTCAGTAGTCTGGAATATTTAACGAAACAATATCCATAATTGTGTTCAGTTCGATGATAAGTTTTGTCAGTCGTTAATTTAGCAATCTCTTTTTACAGTAATTCTCATACGATAATTATTATGATTCTGAGCATATTCGACGGAGGAGAAAAGAGTTCGACAGTATGTACTTAACGAGTCACGGGAGAACTATAATCAAGAGCCTGCGAACTGTAATGTGGTAATTATCGGGACAGGTAGGGGAAAAAAAGAAGCATAAAATTATTCAAAGTGATTCTTCGATCGCTGTGGCATTACATTAATTTCTTGCCGTTGCGATGACATAAAATACACGTTCCTGAAGATCGAGGACCTGAAGGATAATCAAGAATGATATCTTCAATTTTGAAGCTGAAGAACATTTATTAAAAGATATCGTATTGATATTATTATTGGAATTTCTTGTCAGGATCGAGCAAATTTAGAATAAAATTTCGTTTCAACAAATTTTGTCATCTGTTGCTTAAAATGTAACCTCCTCGTGAGTCCAAGTCAAATAATCTTTTGTTCGAACGAATTTCATTGAGACAAACATAACTCGAATTACTTTTAACCGGAAAATCAAGTGATAAACCGTGGGCAAGAGTATTTTATTCCTCGTGTCTCTCTTACTTTCTCGCAATTATTCTACTCTTCTTTCTTATTTCCACCTGTTCTTCCATCAATTTCGAAATGGGAACAAACAGAAATTTGCTTCGAAGAGAACGTTGCGTCGCTTTTGTAAAAAAAAAAGCAGAGAACTCGTTTAGAGTATTAAATATTATATATTATAAATATTATAAATAGTATATAGTATAAATATTACAAATGTTATAAATATTGTATAGTATAAATATTATTATACACAGATATCCAAAGACAGAAATACGGAATCAACGGAAACATAAACCTGACTTCTCAAAATGACATACAAAGAGTATTAAAATATCTCAAAAAAACATAAACTACTATAAACACACATCTAACGCCACCGTCGTCGCTAATGACCTCGCTGTCGATGCGACAATAAATAAAAATAGAAGAAGAAGAAGAAGAATATTATATATTAAATA